TAAAACGTTATGTTTAGAACTTGCATGGAAGGAAATTTAAAGTTAGATCTTGGCTTGCTCTTTTAGCTAGTAGTTACATGTATATGTATTTATTTAGAAATCTCTGCAGCAATTCGTGCTTAAATTTATGCATAAATATTACCTTAAGCCTACTATTTTTAGCGTCTACTAAATTTAGCTATATTAGCGAGAGAGCTTTAAATCGCTAAATTAAATAGACGCCGAAATAATTATTATTCATTATAATGGTTATTATTTATAGTTAATTTGATTAAAAACGCTAAAATTAGTAACGCTAAACATGGCTTTTGCTGATTTCACTAAAATTAGTAGACGCAAATAATAGCAGGCTTAAGGTATACTATACTCATTACTGCTGTTGTTGACTTGTTGTTCATCACTTACTGTTGCTGTTGTTGTTGGTGCTCCTATTGCATTCAGTTCTTACTCAAGAGCACCTCATTCAGACATAACTGCTGTCTGTGGCTATTAGAAATAATGATTATTGAGGTGCTTTATCTGCTTCTTTTTCTTCTTTCATCTTCTTCTTTGCTTGACGTAACTTCATGATAAGATCAAATACATGTAACTCACGAGATGAACTGACAAATGTAACAGCCTAAAAATGATAGGATAGTAAAATTAAAGTCAAAATTGTTTTCTAGTTACTATCCAGTTCATGCAGACATCAGGTATCAAGTTTTACATGCAGAAACTGTTCATGTACTGTATGTATGATCATAATGACATGATAATGTACTATAGGTCTCTCAGCTTTGAAAAGGTAGAGTCTAAATCCAGTGTGAGACTCCTTAGTTTGTATGATAACTCCAAAGTAGCACTGATCCTCTGGATCATGAGTTACATAAGTAACTTTATCAACTGGGACCAGAGTTACAGACTATATTGTAGCTATTAATAGTTAATAGTTATTAAGGTGCATAAATAGCTATAAATATTTTAGTGGTGGACAATACTGGCCAAAATGGATTCGATCCGATACCAATCATTATCAGTGCATATCGAGAGTATTGATACAGTTTTGATATGATATTTAGACCACACCTATGGAGTCATACACCTTATTATTGACTGTTTTCATTGATTTTTCATGCACTTGTTTGTATCCACGTGTGTGTAACTACCTCATTAACTTATCAAAATCTTCTTTATTAATAATTATTTAATCTCAGTAAGTGGACGTGGTCAACATACATGTATCAATACAAGTTTCTTTAAAATTTCAATACCGATACAAATCAATACCGCAAAGTATTGTTTGTATTGATAAAATATCAATATCGCCCAACACTAAAACATTTGAGGCCATGCTTGTACATGTACCTTTTATCTCTCGTCACAAAGTGATACTCATTTCATGTTTAGACCTAAAACTGTTTTCGACTTGTCAGCTCTCATATTCTTACTAGCCATCTATGAAAGGAGAGAAGAAAAACAGTGAGCAACAACAACAGCAATAACCGATTCATGAAAGTTTTGCTCGATAGATATTAAATCACTCCCTCCCCTCTCTCTCTTTCCTTACCCTCAAAGTAGGTAGGCAGTAGTCTTGCCCCGCCCACAGGAGCGGGGCGAGACTAGGTAGGCAGTATCTAGAAGCTCCAGCATTACCACGTCTCCTGATAACACAATTCTCTGATCCAACATACTGCAAGTTAAATGATTTAAAATTGAGTGTATGAGGCAATAAATGCATTTTAAAATACCTCTAAATTTGAGCCTGTCCCTGGCAGTGCGCCACGGTCGAGAATAATTGCCACATGTACCCGTACAGTGGAGTGTTCACTCCTCTTCACTGGTTGATAGTCTATAGATAACAAGAGGTAATGATACACTAATAGTAACAACACACGAGTCATAATCAAGTACTGATGGACTTGGTGCTTCAAGTTGGCTGCCATTTTATTTGGAGGTAAGTACTGTAGTAGGTACTAGGTACGGTATACGTATATGGGTATTATATAACACCCTTCTATGACGTCATAAAAATTTCTTAATTTCGTTCAAAAAAATTTTAAACTAAAAAAATTAGCAAAGTATACCTTATCAAAAAATTGCAGCAGCAACAACAGCAAAAATAATAATAAATATAATAATAATAATATCTCAATAACTAACAGAGAGTGTCATTTAGTTCAGTTATAATATCATTCATTGTTGGACGGTGTCTATACTCAACTATTAGGCAGCGTTGAACAATAGACCTAAACGAGGCTCTTCTAATACCATCAATAAGACCTACTCTCTCTTCTGGTAGAGGAATACGTTGTGTTATCATCTCTAGAAGGAGGACACCATAACTGAACACATCCATTGAAGGAGAGTGTTCCCTTGGATTGCCTGCTTCAGGTGCTGAATAGACAGGATTACCAGGATTAGTGGTCCTACCAATCAGTGGTTGAAGATTAGCTGACCCGTAATCAGATACTTTAGCCCTCCATGTTTCTCCCATTGGTTGAAGGAGTACATTAGCACTGCTGACATCTCTATGTAGTATAGGATGAGGCTTGAAGAGATGAAGGTAATTGAGAGCACAGGCTACATCTAAACTGATGCTCAGTGTGGCATGATAGGCCAGTCCTCCAGTCTCTAATTCCTTTCTTAGGCTGGTCGGCATTAGCTCCGTCAGGATGATTGGATTACCCTCTGTAGTGGCTCCTATAAACTGAAGGAGGTTAGGATGACGTATTTTAGAAGCAATATTCATTTCACGAGAGAACAGTGATACGTTATATTCTGATATGATGGTCTCATGAAGTACCTTTGCAGCAACTTCCAGTCCATGGAAATGAGCTACTCTGACCTCTCCCCATCCTCCTCTGCCTAGAATCCTTTCTGTCATTCTAATATCATTTCTGCTAACTACCCAAGGAGACTCTCTCTCTTGTCTATCTCTCTCTTGTCTATCTCTCTCTCTTAGTTGCTGCTCTAGGCCTCTCTCTCTTTCTTGACTTTCCTGAAGCTGCTGCTGAGCTTGTTGAAGCTGTCGTTGAAAACCCTGTTCTCTTTCTTCACCCTGTTGAACTTCCCTCTGAAGCTGTTGTTGGCTTTCCTGAAGCTGTTGTTGAAAATTCTGCTCTTGTTCTCTGGCCTCTCTCTCTTTTTCTTGTCCTTGTTGCTGTGCTTGTTGAAGTTGTTGCTGTAGTCTGTTTCTAACTTGTTCCTTTTCTCTTCTCTCCTCCTGTAGTTCCCTTTCCCTTTCTTGTAGTACACGTGTCAGACGGTCTATTTCTCTTCTATCCTCAGGTTGAACAGGTTGAGATGCTTCCCATTCTCTTCTCCTTTCTTGTAGTTTCTCTTGATACTGGTCCAGAGGTATTATACTAGTAGACCAATCATTAATACTAGTATATCCTATACAATAACACAATAGTTGAATTAATGACAAGTACATGTACATGTATAATAATAATCAATATAATATCAGCTACTACTGTATAGTAGAAAGCACTGATTATTAATTAAATTCATTTATATAATTATTTTGAATTATTACGTCAGTTAATGAAGCAAATCTCGTGAAATAATATCCTATACCAAAAGGCTATACTGTTAATTTATTATTATTATATTCATGTACAAATTGTATATATTCAATACATCTGTATTCACATATACCCACTGAGTTCAATAACTGCTGTATCTTTTTGTGGTGAGCACCCTCCGAACACAATTATCCAGTTAGTGGTTGGAGTCACACTCCAGGCTGAGAGAGAATGCCAACATCTATCAGTGACATTGATTGGTAAATTAACCTATAAAGATCATAATAAATATAATTTGTGATATTCTTTGTCGCGTACTGTACATGTACATGTATTGTTATTAAAATTTGGCTAATTCCTCAATTGTTTATTGAAACTCGACTCAAAATGCTTAAACCACACCCACAACAATACCTACCAGTTGCTTCCATGATTTATTGTTGATATCAAATATCCAAATATCATAAGTATCAACTCCACCCACCACTAGTAGGTGTGGTCCTGAGCTAGTGTTAATCAACACACTGGAATGAGAACGTCTTTCCTTAGGCCATTGTACTGATCTTCCAGGGCTAGATAACTTTGAACAATTCTAAAATAATAATATAAAAAATAAATAATTATCATAAATCACACCCACAAAATAATACACACATTTATTAATTAATGTAATTATACTAATAATACACTCACCACTGATGTATCAGTAAAATTAAGAATATATACATTGTTACTGTCTCCATTAGCAGTGACACCTCCAAATAATATAGCACTGGAATTATTAATTGATGTTAAAGTGAAGGAGCGAATAGGAGGTGGTCTGTCTCCAGTGACAGTTGGTGATATCCATTGTTCTAAAAATATCAATAATAATAATGAGACACCTACGGTGTGTGGCCTCGCCACTAAAGCTGTTATGGTGCGTGGCCTCTAGTGTTGTTTTAGTATGGTACAAGAGTTTTAGTTTTCTATTTCTTTAATTTTAAGTTTTAGTTTTAGTTATGCAATGGTAATAATTTTAGTTTTAGTTATTGTTATCACTTAAAAATTGTATTTCAGTTTTAGTTTTATTCATCCAATGCTTCTAGTTTTAGTTTTAGTTATAGTTTAATTCACCAAACTCTTTCTGATAATGTGAAACAATTAAACCATCAAAATTAAGAACTAGTGAATGAACTAAATGACCTTATGAACACTATACAGTGCTAACTATTGGTGGTCAAACCTCTTAATTATACTGCAATAGTTTTATTAGTTACAAGTGAGCAATTTTAGTTTTAGTTTTAGTTAAGGAAAACAGCTCACTAAAATAGGTTTTAGTTTTAGTTACTGTTAACTAAAACAATGCTAGTGGCCTCACTGCAATAGCTGTTTGATTATCAGCAAGAATGGCATGAAGAGAGTCTGCTCAACATATAGCTTCCTGTAGTTGCAGTTGCTCTTGAATACCTGCAGAAGTAGCAGCACTGCAGCAAGCAGCTCTAGCCCCTACCATGCATGTAATTAAAAGGTGTGGCATTACATCATCAACTTAACTGCAATGATCGATGGCAGCAAGAAGGCCATGTGAGAAAGAAGCTTAACTTTTTCTTTACTAATCAGCAATATACGATAAACTTGCTGACAGAAAGTTGTTCCCTTTATATATTTGAGATAATATAGACACTTTAGTACCTATAGTCCAGTAGTTTGTCGCTCCAGCGCTTCACAAACTAGAACCAGGGCAACTATAACTCTTCATCAAGTAAGATTTAAAGAATTCTGTTCATTTTTTTGAAGGCTATATTCTAATCTATTGGAAAATGCTGCCAGCTATCTCTAGAGTTCCAACACAACGAAACCTGACTCAAATACTTGATTTCTTACTTTGAAGCTTCTTGTACCTAGTGCTTGTATTTGAGCAACACAAAACAGTTAAGCAAGACTTTTCCAGGCCAAAAAGGAAGTTCTAGGCGCTTGGAACACGCTATGCTAAAGTTATAGCTTATCAAAAACAAAATTCGCTTGTACAGAATGAATGAATGAATGACACACACACACAACAAGTACCTATACCTCGCATAGGCGAGGCCAATTAGTGTGAATGGAATGCATTGGGTGGAGCAAATTAGTTGATATTTCTTTGATCAATATTATCAAATAATTAGGAGTGACAACAATGAACAAACAAGCAAGCAATTCTCAATGCAACCAGCCTGAGTGGAGAACCATTAAATAACAATACTTCATTATATTAATATAAACTGTATGTGTTCTGACCTGTTGAGAGTTTATAGAAATGGATCTCATTGCAAAGTTGATTACTAGAAAATAATCCTCTATCACTGTACTGGGCACCAGGTTGTTTCGGTGTATTATTAGTAGATGGTCCCTGTCCTCCAATTACTACAAGATAGTCCTCACCATTCACTTTCATTGCTATCATGTCACAGTAGCCTTTCATCTTAGGACCAAGACGAGATGTAGTAGGAGAGAGTTTCTTCCAGTTAGAGGTATCAACATTAAAACTGTATAAAATATTATATAATATCAATAACTATCATGTTTACCTGTATAAACTATTATGAAGACAGCCACCATGACCACAATGGCCTCCAAAATAAAATATTTCCCTTCCAATGGCAGCAGCTGCATAGCTACTAACACCCAGTGGAGGGTTACCAGTGGTGGGTTTCTGCTCCCACCTACTAGTCCTTAGGTGACACACCTCCATCACAGAACACATTGATTTCTTCTTTTCATTATTATGTACTTCAGGGAGATCAGGCTGGACCCCACCCCACATATACAGGTAGTCTCCTACCCGTACAGTGGAGTGTTCCCTTCTCTCCACTGGTTGATAGTTCGATTGATAGTCTTCTGGTACTTTGGCTGCCATTTTTGTTAGAGGGACAAATGGGGCCGGGGCTCTGGGGTATGATGACAGGTAAAACGCCCTTTTGTGACGTCATACATATCTAAGTATAAACACTTAATAACTAAACCGGATGTGAAGACATCAAATTTTGTTTTTTGCAATTTTAAAATTAAAAAATAAAAATAGCAAAAGTACACCCTATCAACAAAATCTGCAGCAACAAGAACAACAATAATAATAATAATAATTACAATAAGTCAATCAGCTTATAGTTAAACAAACGTATGTTACTGTACATCAGTGGCGTAGCTACATAGGGGCCTGTGGGGGCAAGCGCCCTTATAACTGCTTCTTGTGCCCCTGCAACAAGGCAGGAGACTGAATAGATACAAGTTACAACTGACTGAACTGACTCAATTGAGCTGGCTACATTGAGTAATAATGAGCATTGCTTTATTCAGTGCCCCCACTGTGCCCTCTTTGTTCATTTATTCTAGCTACGCCACTGCTGTACATGTATATAAGTGTACATGTACATGTATTAGTATTTTAATGTTTTTAATTAAAAGACATCCAGGAATCAGCTAGAAATGGGAGAGGGGCAGCCCACCCCCACGGCTAGTAAAAAAATCACCAAATATACCCGTGCCACCTCCAAAACCGCCCCCCGTCCCGGGGGCAACGTACCAAAAGTATCCTCAAACCCAGAAGGGGCCGGCCAGAAGTAGTGGGCGGGGCATCAGTGAAGTCTAAATAAGGTGGACGGTATGATAGAGGGGCTGGGCTTCGGTGTTAGTGGGTGGACCTCGGAATATTGTGGGAGGGGCTGGTTCTGGTTTTGATGTTGTTTTGTCATGAGCTATTGAGACCAGATCAGAAAATGCATCAATTTTCCCTTTAGCCCCGGCCCCCTAGGGGGGCTGTTCACCTCCCGGGGGTCTGGCCCCTCCGGTATTAGTGGGTAGGAATGGCTGAGAGAAATTGCTGTCTAGTAGGGGGTTAGCCGGTAAACTGAAAATATCCAAGGCTGGGGAGGGGGGCTGAGGGCCGCCAGGAAATCCACCCATGCCCCCTCCAAATTAAAACTGCCCTGTTCCGTACCCAGTAGGAGGTCCATTCCCAAACCAGACATTCTCATTCCCATACCTATCAAGTAAGCAGTGGTTGTGTTTTGCTGTGGGTTATGTATAGCGTCCATAAGATCCATCGTAATGGAGGATTCTTGTACAGGAGGGGTGGGGAATTATGGGGAGGGGGCTGGCCGGCCATACCAAACGGGTTTAGTAGTGGGGGCGGGGCAAATGTGGGAGGGAATTGAGGCTAATTCCCGTACAGACTAGTAAGAGTTCCACTGCCTGAGAAGATGTCAGATAAATCATCAAACCAGCTTGAGGAGGGAGGAAGGCTAGGGTTGGCTGGAGGGGGAGGGTGAAAGGGGAAAGGGGGTTGTACCCCTGGCTGGGGGCGGGTACCTGCTCCTCCTGTTGGTGCTGGTGGTGGTATTATTATGTACTCTGACTGAGCAGTAGGAGCTGGAGCAGGAGCAGACTGGGAGAGAGAAAGAAAATTGTAAATTAACAATTACATGTATATATGGTTACATGCATTTGTAATGAAATGCTATGTTTAGAACTTGCATGGAAGGAAATTTAAAGTTAGTTCTTGGCTTGCTCTTTTAGCTAGTAGTTACATGTACATGCATTTATTTAGAAATCTCTGGAGCAATTTGTGCTTAAATTGATGCATCAATATTATACTATACTGCTGTTGTTAATTGACTTGTTGTTCATCACTTACTGTTGCTGTTGTTGCTGGTGCTCCTATTGCATTCAGTTCTGACTCAAGAGCACCCCATTCAGACATAGCATCTGTCTGTGGCTAATAAAAATAAAAATAATCATTAAATTAAGATTAAAATAAGTTTACTTTTGCTGCTTGGGGAGTTTTATTATCACCAAATGTAAAAAAAACAAACAATAAAACAACATACTTAAATTACTTACATCATAAATGTCATCAAACGTTGGAGGTGGTGGCTCGTCATGAAACGAGAATGTCAGCCTTTTGTGGGCGT